TTAGCAAAGCGTTATTGTGACCTTTTATAATTTTTTCCATATTTGGAGAAAATTATAAAAGCAACTGTATTGTAAAAGCAACTGTAGCTAACTTTAATTGAATTTCGATTAAATATTTTAAGTAATTTATTAGAAGGCGGGAAGTGTTAAGAGACCACTTTTAAAAACACTTTTCCTATGTTAGTTGAAACATTTTTGCTATATGGAGGGTTGAACCAAATTACATTTCTAATATTGTTTTGCTTTTTTATATTCAAAACTTTAAGATCAAGAAGATACAATTCGTATAATAAAACATTGCAGAAAAACTCTACTTTATTTTAATAATGAAACTTGGGATAAGAAAAACATACATGACTGCATGGATATACAATGAGCAGCTATGATGGAGCAGAAATTTGTGGATTTGTTGAACTATACATTTAAGATTTATTTTGTAAAATAATCAATATTAATGATTTAGGCCTTTATTGTGATGATGGTTTAATAGTAATGCATAAAAAATCTGGTTCACAGCTCAATAAATATAGAAAAGATATTATAAAAATTTGCAAAACTATTGGCTTTCAAATCAAAATAAGCATACACTTAAAAGTTGTAAATTTTCTTGATGTCACACATGATCTCTCTGAAAACTCATATAAGCCTTTGATAAAACCAAATGATGAAATATTATATATTAATATTAACTCAAATCATCCACCCCAAATTCTAAAACAAATCACAATCTTAATTAATAACAGGCTAAACCAAAACTCTTCTGATAAAAATGTATTCCATTCCTCTACAGGAATTTTCGAAGATGCCCTTAAGAAAAGTGGATTTCAAAACTTTGAACTAAAATTTGATCCTGAAAAAAAGATTATAAAAAACCGAGATAGAACTAGAAATATAATTTGGTTCAACCCCCCATATAGCAAAAATGTTTCAACTAACATAGGAAAAGTGTTTTTAAAACTGGTCAGTAAACACTTCCCACCATCTAATAAATAACATAAAACTTTTAATCAAAATACAATTAAAGTTAGCTACAGTTGCACATTTTTTATTTTTTTTATTCTCATTCACTCTCAACAAGGCTGCAAGCAACCACTATTAGGTAGGGAGTTACTAAAAAAAAATAGAGTTATAGAGCAAGGAAACGGTTGACAGAAGACTTGAAGAGTTGAAGGTTGTATGAGTCAGGAAAACATGAAGATGGAAGAGAATTCCAAAGGATTGAAGTGCGGGGAAAAAAACTAGATGAATCAAAGTTTTTAGAGCATGCAGGGACAGATAAAGTAAACGAATGGGACTTAGCTGAATGACGAGTCAAACGAGAATGAGTTTTAGTTGATGGAACTAAAGACGATAACTCCTTTGAGCAGTGACCATGAAAGTATTTGTAGAAAAGAGAAAGAGATGTAACTTTACGACGGTGGGAAAGAGGCTCAAGCTTAGCAGATAGACCTGGTCCAACTATGCTTAAAATGCGTTTTTGCACCTTGTCTAGAAGAGAAAGAGCATCATTAAAAGAGTCAGCCCAAATATGATAACCGTATTCCATACAGGGACGAATAAGAGATTTATAGAGGTAGAAAATGGAATCAGCAGTAAGAAAATAAGCGGGCACGATAAAGAGAAGCAACCTTAGCAGAAGTTAATTTAGCAATCCATTGTATGTATGGTTTCCATGAAAGGTCAGTAGTAAACGATAATAACGATAAGACGAAAAGAGGAGGAATCAGTAAGAGGATTGCTATTCATTAATATAGGAATGTTGACCATATTGCAATAGTTGTTTGCAGTAAACAACTGAGTTATTTTAGAGTTTGAAGTCCACAAGCCACTGTGAGCCCCAATCTATTATAGAAGTGAGATCAGACTCAAGATCGGCCGCCTGTTCTAAGTGATCGAAAAGAGAAGACTTTTTGTCAAGACAGAAGTATAAAGTTAAGTCATCAACAAAAAGAGCTACTTTAGATGTAAAGTTGTCAGGAAGATCATTAATGTAGATAAGTAACAAAACAGGGCCCAGAATATATCCTTGAGGTACCACAGAAGTTACTGAAAATAGAAAGAGTATTAGCCTTTAAGGATGACTTTAATAAACCGGTTAGAAAGAAATGATTTGATAATCTCAAAAACTTTCCCAGATACACCATATGAAGCAAGCTTATGGAGAAGACCAGCATACTAAACTTTGACGAACGCTTTAGATAAGTCGAGAGCAATAGCACTAGCCTCCCCGCCTCCATCTAATGCACAATAAAATCTTTCATTCACAGCAGTTAGCAAGTCAGTCGTAGAGCAAGAGGATCGGAATCCGTATTGATTGTCTGACAGTTGTTTATTTGACTCATGATGGGATGTGAGGAATTTGTTGATTAAAGACTCAAAGACCTTGCTAATAACATAAAGAAGACTGATCGGACAATAATTGGTGGGATCAGAATGTTCACTAGAGTTTTTGAAAACTGGAACAACAGATACCATTTTCCAGCAAGCAGGAAAACAAGACTCAGTCAATCACTTATTAAATAGTTTAGAGAGAATTGAAGAAAGTTCTGGAGAATAATTCTGCAAGACTGTGACAGGAATGTTGTCTGGACCACAAGATGTAGAAGAGTTTAATTGAGATATGACTTTAGCAACAGAAGCTGGAGTGATTTGAATGTCCAACAATGGGTCAACCTGTTTAACTGGAAGGAAGAGGATGGCCATAAGATTTAAGATTGGAATTAGAAGAAAAGTTCTTTGCAAATAGTTCTGCCTTATCCATAGAAGAGGTAATAAGATAAGTCCCATGAATGAGAGATGGAATGTTAGACCTACCTTTGTTAATAATGCTGTTAAAGATTTTCCAAAAGTCTTTAGAGCCTAACTTCTGCGATAAGATGCGAGATTTAGTGAACTGAGAATAATGGAGTTTAGCATAAGACAGCAACTTTTTACATCGATTTCTTGCAATAATAAATAGTCATTTGTTCTTTAGAGAGTTGTTCTTTTGAAAAAGATGAAAAAATGATTACGATTAGATATAGCAGCTGCAAAAGAAGGAGAAAAACATGGAGTAGAATGAGGCTTGACTTGGAACCAACAAGAAGGAATAAAAGCTCCCATTCCTGCCTGAATCTAGGAGGTTACGTAGGAGGTGCATTTATCAGCTGAGAGAGAAAAAACATCAGCCCAAGGACCATCGCAAAGAAAATCATGAAAAGAATCCCAGTCAGCTTTAGGGTAGTAGTAGGTGGTGCAATGGTATGGTGAACTCGAAAAAGAAGTACGAGAGGAAGGATTTATAGAGATCATTGCATGGTCAGAACCACTTAAGGGAGAAAAGGGAGAAACTGAACATAAGCTAGGGTCAGAGACAAGAAATAAGTCAAGGAGTGAAGGTAAATGATTAGGGTTGTCAGAAAAACGAGTCACAAAGTTAACTATTTGAGGTAGAGATAGAGAAACGCAGAAGTTATAAGCTTTAGTGCTAGCAGGATCATTGGTGTTAGAGCTAAGCCACTCAGTGTGATTAAAGTCACCATTAACAACAATATTGGCAGAAAGGTAAAGAGAGAGGGCATGGTCGTTTTGATCAGAGATAACATCTAAAAGAGTGCAGTCTTGGAAAGGAGGAGAACGATAAAGAACAAAGAGAAAGGTGATAGAATGAAGAGGTGCTAGGCGGAAGCACATAAAAGAATGGTCAAAAGATTTGAACCTGATTTCACGATAAATAGGGGAATTAATGCGTATATATACCCCTAATCCTAGCATGTGATTACATAAAATATGGAAAGAATTATAAAAGGTCACAATAATGCTTTGCTAAACAAAAAAGAAATCCTAAATGAAAAAATAGCAGAAATTTTTATTTGTAAACAAAAAAAAAAACAATTGTCAAATGATTTTAAAATGTAAATCAAAAAACGTGGTAAACAAATGTGTTGTTTCCTCTACCTGATGTAATGGCTTAACAAAGGGTGAATGGAAAAAGCGTTTTGTCAACCATAAACAATCCTTTAAAAATAAAAAGTATTCAAAGGACACGATGCTGTCAAAATACATATAAGAATTGAAAGATAAAAATATTGATGATTTTATATTGAATTGGTCTATCCTTAAAACAGCCCCTGAAATCTTGTAGGCATAATATGCATTTTTTGGAAATATAATAATATTTCCAAAAAATGCATATTATGCCTACAAGAAAAATTTGAAATAATCACGTATGCAAACCAAGAATGTTTATTAAACAAAAAATCGGGATTGATTTTTAAATGCAGGCATTAAAATAAGTTTCTCCTAAAAAATTATAAAAATAAACAAAGGTCAAATAATAATAAGGTCAAATAATAATTATGATAAATCCACCCTATAAAATTACATTTTTTAAAAAAAAGCAGAAGTAAACAATTCTAAACAACTCTTTTTAATAGTGTCAGCATATTCCAGAAATGTGAGCAGCTAAGCCATTTATGACTTCCTGTAATTTAATTTTTGGTATAAATTGAAGTTTTATTAATTTAAACATCCATTTCTGATGAATCTTAATTGATGAAAGAGAGTGTAAAATGGAAAAAGATTGTTAAGTGATTTTGTACTTATATATATATATATATATATATATATATATATATATATATATATATATATATATATATATATATATATATATATATATATATATATATATATATATATATATATATATATATATATATATATATATATATATATATATATATATATATATATATATATATATATATATATATATATATATATATATATATATATATACAGTATGTCAAAAAATCACCCCCTGATGATTTTTCAATAAAAACAAATTTTTTATGCTTAAAATAGATTTTTGATGTTAATTTTTTTTTAAACATTGAATTTATATTAAAAAAACATTTTTATAACAAGAATTAATTATTGTTATACTTAAAACAAAAATTGTCCACTAATTTAGAAAAGTCAAAAATCACCCCTTAAATAATTATTTTACTGATATAAAATTAATAGTCTATTTGTGTGCCTTTTGCCTTGATGACTGCAAGACATTTTTTGGGCATTGAATGTACTAAGTTTTTAAGCCATTGTGGGTCAAATTTTTCCCACTCTTTAACAAGAATCGCCTTTAATTGTGACAAACTGGATGGTTTTTGATCAGCTACTATAACTTTAAAAAGATATATTTTGATACGATTTAGATATGGTGACTGAGGAATCCACTCTAACATCTTAATAATGTTTTTTTCTAACCACTGAGTAGCTAAATTTGATGTGTGTTTAGGATCTCCATCCTGTTGAAAGATAAAATTACGAGATAAGCCAGCACTTCTGGCGCTTAATATCAGTTTTCACTTCAGAATATCAGTATAAACCTCTTTTGTCATTATTCCATCAATGAATTCAAGTTCGCCAACACCACTCCAAGCAAAGGAGCCCCAAACCATCATTCGACCTATGAAAAGAGGAAAAAACAAGTTAAAAATATATATAATATTGAAAGTTTTATAATAAAGCTTAATTTTACCTCCTCCATGCTTGACAGTTGGTCATTTAGGGCTTAAGCGTTCATCATTTTTTCTCCATTTGCGTATGATACCATCAGAACCAAATAAACATATTTTTGTTTCATCAGGCCATAAAACTCTTCGCCATTGGTCGCTAGTCCAATTTGAATGTTTCTTAGCCCAAGCTAATCTTTTCTTTTGATTCTTTTTACTCAAAAAGGGCTTTTTTGGAGCAACTCTACCTACAAAACCTTAATTTTTCAACCTATTGCGAACAGTTGGAGGATTTACAGTTATATCATGATCTGTTTGTAAATCTTTTGCAAGCTTTAATGCAGATAATCCTCGATCTTGTTCAACTTTCCGAATAATTTCTCTATCAATGCGTAAAGTAGTCTTAGCTGGGCGTCCTTTTCTTGGCAAATTTTTTATGGTACCTATTTTCTTATATTTTCTTATGATATTTCCTACACTATTAGGTTTAACATTTACTATTTTAGAAATAGTTTTATACCCTTTTCCACTTTTATAGTGTACCAGGATCAGCTCTTTTACTTATTCATGAATTTCATATCTTTTCACCATAATTTTTTTATTAGGAACCTAAAAAGAAAACAAACTTTGCTAAAAAAATAAGTTAGAATAACTTCTATCAATCAAATTTGTTTGTTTTAGGCTTTTTTTCTGCAATTCTCTAAGTAATACAACAGAAAAGTTAAAAAATGACTAGGGGGTGATACACTTTTTTGACTTTTTCTAATTTAGTGGATAATTTTTGTTTTAAGTATAGGAATATTATTATCTTGTTATAAAAATGATTTTTTAATATAAATTCAATATTTAAAAAAAAAAAAAGGTCAAAAATCTAAATTTAAGCATAAAAAAATTTATTTTTATTGAAAAATTATCAGGGGGTGATTTTGTGACATACTGTATATATATAGATATATAACGAACAGCCTGTTAAGGAACAAATTACATAACGAAAATATTGTATTCCTTGTTTTTATATAGTTTATGTAAAATCGATTTAGGTTCGAGTTTTTTATGATTTACATTTCTTACTTGTTATAAAATTAAGACAAATATTTTCCATGGCGGTCAAACAATTTTTTCGTCCGGCTTACAACCAAATGTGTTTTAAAAAACAAAAACTTTACTAGGCTTTTAGTGTGCTCCCGGGGTTGCAATAACGAACAATCAGGTTGCCAAAACGAACATTGGCCGCGTCGGGTTGCATTACCGAACAAAAAAGTTGCAATGCAGAACATTTGCGTTACTATACTGAACATCCATATCATCATCATCATCATCATCATCATCATCATCATCATCATCATCATCATCATCATCATCATCATCATCATCATCATCATCATCATCATCATCACCATCATCATCATCATCATCATCATCATCATCATCATCATCATCATCATCACCATCATCATCATCATCATCATCATCATCATCATCATCATCATCATCATCATCATCATTGTTATACTATAAATACCTTTCTTGGCATTTGAAACTTTGCTAGCAATATCAGGTAGATTTGAAGAATCTAAATGATAATTATATAAGTTTTTACTTCGAGTTCTTACTTCTAATTTAAGGTTATATTTAATATCATTACTATCAAAATTGAAACTTCAAATACTTTATTATCAAACAATTAAAGGTTGATTCACTTTAAAAATATCTAATTCATAGCATTTTGTTAATAATTGTAGCTATGTAGTTAATCATCTGACACGTTTTTTGCAACATGTGAATGTAAGAAATATCAAAATAATACTTTTTAATATATCAGGTTTATACAGCAACAACACTTGAGTCATTAATAAGTAACTTTTTAAAATTGTTTGACCAACTTAATACAAAAACAAAAAATACAAAATATCTCCTTGGTTTTTAATAATTTTTATCTTTATTATTATGCAATATACAATATATAATTTATATATAGTAAACTAAATATGCTACTTTATGCAAAAGTGTTATCTTGTGTTATTACAAATTTTTTAAATGTTTTATATGTACTTTTATTGTACTTATTAAAAAAAATACTATGAAAAAAAAAGAGTGCATTGATCAAATATTCCTATATATTCCAAATATTTTTTTGAAGCAAAGTGTGGAATATACTTTCTAGATAAAAGTTTTGCTCTAATGTATCTGTCTCTTCTCATTTCTCCAGATACAGTTGTGGCTGCTTCTGTAACCAATTTAAGATGTTTTTCTACATTTTGAGAATGGCATAAAAAATCATCTGAAGTAAATTTTTCAATATTTTGCATTTTCAATGAAGTTATCACTTAATTTTTTTAACATAGGTGATGGAGTCCATTGAAGTTCCTCCCAATTTACAAGACTATGGATATCAACTGCATCAAAATTTAGAAGATGAATTTTGATTTATCTGTTAAAATTTATCTGTTAACATTTATCTGTTAAAATTGATACCAAAATATTTTCTGGGTGACCATAATACGCATTTCTTTGAATGAATTTGTCAACTATAAACGGATCACTTTCAGAAAGGATGCAAGAGAATTAAATTAAGTACCACAACTGTTTTGCCCTCATGTAACATTGAGGTTACAGTTTAATAAAAAACCACACCAGTGAATAAACTCATAGAATGTAATCAGTAAGTATTACAAGCTCGGTAGACAGAAGAGTGCTTGCAACATGCAAACGAATGATTTTATTTGCTTTAATCAGTCATCAAGAATGAACCAGTTGCCCAGGCTTATTTTTTGCAAGGGTTTCTTTCACCTCACCTATTTACATTGCTTTGCCCACGTTAGAAAGATACTGTTGATCTTTCTAACGTGGTATTATGTCACAATTAGCGATTCCACGGCGCTACTAAAAACATTTGACATTAGACGAAAAACACCAAATTTCCATAAAATTTACTCTCTTATATCTTTTTGTAGAGTTGAGGAATCACCTTGAGGTTTTTTCTATCAGTTAGTGTTACTCAACCTCTTTCCAGCCATATATAACAAGAACTATGTTTTATATGGCTTCACTTAAATATTATCAATATCCTGAGACCACTTTTGATAAAAAAGTTTGTCGCGGGAACGTTTTTTAAAAAGAAGCTTTTGGAGGTAAGGATTCCTTAGTACCAAATCACATCCAATTTTTATAAAACTTTCCGTATATATTAAAAAAGGGATGAGGAATCTAATAGAATGTGGACACTTTTTAACTTTTATACATAAATTTTTAGCTTTCAGCGTTTCAAAACTTCAAGGTTTATTTTTATAGAAAAAAAAAGAGTTTTTTAAAAGTGTCCAGGTGGAAATGGCAAGTTTAGCTTTTCCTCTCTTTAAAACAAGTATTTATTTATGTTTTCTTGAAGAATAGATACTAAGGATTTGTATATAGAAATTATGTGTATATATATCTATATTCCTTCGCGTATTTTATGACGTTTTTTTGTTTTGATTTTGCGTTTCTACGGTTTTAACTTCAAATAAAATTGAAAGTGAAAGAATAATTCTTTATGAAAGACTTCAGTTTTTAAGTCAATAAAAATAAAATTTTTACTTTTTTAAAGGTATTTTGTCTGGATTGTTCAACTACAAGCTTGATTTTTACTATTTTTACTACGGTTTGTACTACAGATTCTTTAAACTGTTTTTTTTTCAAAACAAAACCTTGAAATAGTAATCAACTAAAGTTCACTAAATGAAAATGTGTAAGGAATTTATCAGTTGTTTTCAATTATTTTTCTATTTTTTATATTGGTTTAGTAAAAGAACCAATGAACTCTAATCATAATTTAAATTCCCTTTGTTATAATCACTTAAGTTTAATATTAATTTTAGCCACCAAAATGTTGTCAGAAACAGCAGCCTACAAGAAATTTTTGAATTTTTTAAATATAAATGACGGCATTATTTCTGTCAAACAACCTAATTTTATGTTAACTAATAGCCAATTTTTAAAAATTTGCAAAGAAAAAGATAAATATAACAATTCATTATTTTTTACAACCTACTGTAAATATAATATCTCTAGAGTGATGCTAATTAATTACTTGAAAAAGTTCATAGATTATGTTGCAAAATTAAAAAGAGCAAAAAACTTTGACTTAACAAAAGATTTTTTAGGCTCTGTCTTATCTTTTAATGATGCTTTTTCTGATATTATTTGTTTGTCACCTTCTGATGCTTGTTCTACCCCTATTTCTATCCACAATAGTGTAATTGTTGCAAATCAAGTTATTGTTTTTGTATCTTCTAATTTAAACTTGCAAATTGCTAATGATGATTTTTCGTGCTCTGTTACCCCAACTTTTATTGGATACACCTCTTTAGGTGACTTTCTGAAAATTTTCTTCTTGAAACTCAAGTTAACGAAAAGAATCTCCCAGTTTCCAATTTGGATAGAAAACTGCCTATATTATCTGGCAATTTGACCTATCAAATAAAAAAATACAAACAGAAATACATAACAATTACAAGGGTGATCTTAGAAAGCTTATTTTTTCCTTCAAATCTTTGATGGCAGATTGCACTGTTATTAATTTAAGTTTTTTCACCAATTTAAACATTGGAGAGAAGCAATTTTGTCTTTTGTCATTAAAAACTATGATCAACTTGCATTAAATGAAAAAATAAAAATTTCTCAAATGAATCATGTTTTTTGTGGTTTACATGTTGTCCACAATTTAGAGGTATAGCTGAAAAAGCAATCAGTTAATGGGAAAAAGTGGTTGGGGAGGAAGGCGGTATCCATGGTGGTTTTAAAAATTCCTAAAACTCACGTACCTTTGACATTTTATATGAACTTTCAAAACTTACAAGCTATAAACATGGTGATCAGCAGAAAAGGAAAGCTGATGAATGGAAAGCATTTTTGCGTAAAAGGTTTTAAGAATTTATAGGGTTTCATTCTTGCATCATTGGTTTGACATTATATTTGTACTTGGTGGAGTGATGGCTTATCATAAAAATCATTTTAAAGAATTTGTTTTTAATCTTAATGGCGCAAATTTTTTTCATGAGTTAATTAGGCAGGACATTGACAACATAATTTTTCACACTTCAACTAGAGCTCTGGGAATTTTTAACAAACTTATTTCAGGACCTCTTTTTCATATTATTGAAAAAGAATTCTTCAATAATACAAAATCATATTAATTTCTTTGAATATGATTTGGTTGCAAATATTAATTATTTCGTTAGTTGTTCTTCCGATGCATCAAAAATGTTAAGTGGTTCTACATTTTTTGATGTCAAGTATCTTACCAAAGATGAAGTGTTTAATCATTTATTTTGTGATAGTAATGACCCCTTTATGGATGCATTAACACAAGAATGTCTTGAAGTTATTTGTTGCTCATGTTCAGTTATGATACAGAGTCAGTTAAGAGACCATTTGCCTGGAGGAAAATATTACAATCCGGATGTTGATGTGCTTGAGGAAACTAAAAACTGCCTTCGTACTAACTTTTTCTCAACATGACTTTACTTCTTATGACTGCAGGTTAACAATGAAACCTAACATGACAACTTAAATAGTTAACATTGTGTGAACTATTTAACATAGCCTCTTTAACTTCAGCTTTTGATAGAATGTTCATTTTACTAAAAAACTCAACAGCTTAAGAATTATTAGGAAATGTGCTTCTTAAAATTGCAGCCATTTTTTGTAGTACAGTTCTGATAAACAGATTCAACGTTATTGACAGATACATTTCTACTTAAGAGATCATCATAGACAGAGCAAATTTCCTCATATATCTACCTCCTTCAAAAACATCAATTACATTGTTTTCAAAATCGTCAACTCATTCCTTTAGCTCTTCTGTATTTTCCAAGTAATTTAAACTCTCCCTTAAGATTGAATCATTTGTTTCATCAGTTGTTTTCAAAACAGTGCTTTCAAATTTTATTCTTTAAATACTATGCTTTTTGTTGATCAGATTGGGAATGCTTTCTAGCAAAATCAAGTTCTTTTTCCAATTTTAAATTTTATTTGCAACAATTGGTTAATCTTACAATCCTTTCTAACATCTCCTTTTTAAGTATCTGTATATCCAATAAGGCTTCCAGCCTTGTTGGATATACAGATACTTAAAACTGGAAGCAACTACTTTTAGAGTAGTTGCTTAAAGTTACTGGAAGACCCAAGTTGAAGATTATAAAGCAAGATAATGATTAACAGATGACTTTAAAAGATTGCAAATAATATGAATCAGGAAAACAAAATGAATGGAGAGTATTATAAAAAACTGAAGTTCTATATAAAAAAACTAGACAAATTAGAATTTTTGGAGCACCTAGGAACAATAAAATACTATATTATTGTATACAAATATTAACTTAGCAATAATTTGTATATAAGGTTTCCATGAGAGGTCAGTACAAAAAGATAATTAGAGATAATTTAAAGTAGAAGACACAGTAATAATGTTGCCATTCATCAATATAGGAATATCAACAAGATTGCAAAGATTTTTTAGAGACTTTGCCAGATACACCATATCATCCAGAGCAATAGAATGTGCCTCACCGCCTCTACCTAACGATAATTTCAAACTTTTCTGTAACACAGTTAACAGGTCCAAAACCAGATGGTTGAAATCCATGTTTCCTATGACGCCAACAAATAGAGCCACCTGTGAGTTTTTCAGGCTGATCATTAATGTTGGTTAGAAACGGTAAAAGGCTGAGGATAGAAGTTAACCTTGTTAGTTAAGTATTGACAATAGCGTGAATATGCAGCGTTTAGTGCCACAGGGCCTGTGTGTTTTGTGATTGTGATGTTATTGTTGTGATGTTTTGTGTTGATAGACAACTTGGCTTACCTTCTCGCTGGTGTCTATCGTTAAAAATGATTATTAGGTTGTTTCTTTACTGAAACTCTCTACTTCTAATCATTCACTAAAAGCCAAGAGATAAGTTGTAGAATAACAACATTTTTTGTTTTAATGTTGTTTTCATTTTTTATCATAGGTGTTGTCAATAGTTCACATAAACAATCTCAAAATGTAAGTTTTTTATTTTATATTTATTTAGTTTTAATTGTTAGTTTATAATTTTTTTAAATTTTTAAAACAAGTTAACAAATATTTTTTTAAAATTATTGTGTATCTGTGTTTTTAATAAAAATTTTTTTACAATTTTACTTAGAGTTTCTGCTGTTACACCTGCTATTGCTGTTGTAAGTACTCAAAATTTCAGGAAGTTTTGTTGCTGTAAGTTAATTTCATTCAAATTTAAATTTAAATTTTATTAAATAATCTTCTGTCTGTTAAATAGGTAATTCTAAATGA